TCACCAGTGAGGCAGGAAAAGCTGACCTGGAATCGGCAATAGTTCCTGGCAGCAGAGGCTCTGGACAGCCTGGAAGTGTGGGTTTACATGCTTGCTGGGTTACATACAGCACTGACTCAAACACAGCTTTGAGCTTGTGGGATGGGAACGGACAGTTTTTACATCAGCTAAATAGCATTACAATAAAAAGTCCAGTGGATATCAACCACCCTGGGCCCATTTTAACCAGTAAAGATGCCCTGACATTCCAGTTAGGCCAAAAGAAAGCTCCTGGGAGCTCCTTGCTATGGAAGACTCACCTTAATGTAGTGCAATCCCCAGACACATGGACTCTGCAGCCCCTATAGTAAGGCTGAGGGGAAGTTGAGTGTGACAGGGAGAGGCAGGGACCCTTTGGGGCCCAGCTCCAGCACTGACAGTCAGTGCCATACAGCACAAGCCTCGAATGGGTAACAGCACCTCGCTCACTGCCTGAAGAAAAAAAAACACTACACATTTCTTTGTCTAGCTCTGCAGCTGACATCTGAACAACAGCATTATCTTCCAGACAAAGCCAGAGCCTTGACATGTTTGGGAGCACAGTGCACCCTTGAGAAGCCTAATTGCATTCCCCTGTACAGAGGCACACCTCATTTCCTCCTCTAACTCCACTGACCTGCATTTCCAGCACCTGGGTGGTGCATAAAGAGCCCTCCACAACCGATGCCCTCTCCCCCTGTGGCTATTTGTGTTTCTATGTGGCTTGATGAAATGGCTTCAAGCTTTACTCAGAACTCTGGGGCTGGAACACCTAACTCATGCACTGAGATGGATTCTACACTCTGGAAACTCCATCTTCTACACATGTAACATCATTCACATCATTTTGAGATACATATGCGAACTCCAGAAGCGACCCTGCAGAGCTGCACAGATCCCCATCTCGCAAGCCTAGGCAGGGCAGTGCTTTCTGCCAAGACATCAGCCTCTTCCACCAGGAAGCAACAAGTCCACAGGGTATTACTTCACACAAGTGTATTGCCAACACTAACAGTGCTGTTGCATTAGAGAGAAGAGTATTTGTCAATAGTAGCAAAGCAGCCTCTCTGCATTCAGGTCATGATCTCTGCAAGCCATAGGCCAATATCCTTAGGAGAAACATTCTCAGATGGACAACTTATTCCCTCCTCACCCTTCTCCTGTGTATCAAGTGCTTGTCACCATCACACTACGCAACAATCCTCGCATAGCATCAGTCAAGGGACTTAGGGGCTTCACTTTTCAGAAACAAACGGGCACAGGGAAGATTTTGGTGACATCCTGACTGCAGGGGGCTGTAAGAGTCTAAATGAATTCACTGCTAGCTATTTTGGTTTCTGACATAAGCCAATAAGAAGAGCACATGGTGACAACGTGCCCTCTGGTGGCAGCGGTGCTGGGGCGGGCAGAAGCACATGCACAAGTTCACCCCACCTCACCTTAGCAATTACCAGCTACCCATCTCAGTTGTTGCTCAGAAACACCAGGCTCCCATGCCAGCCTCCTGCAGGCCCTCCTGCTGCACCAGCACCGCCCAGTTCAGAACTGAAAAAGCCTTGGGCTTTCCCTACCGAGGAGTGGACAGTCATCCATTCCCATCATTCTTTACAAAGCTGAATTTCAACAGGCTCACAGCTTCCCCCACCCCCCCGGGACTATCAGTATTAGAATAACTATTCAGCTGTAGCTCACTGAGGTTTAATATGTTTGTCTGGGGTGACACAATAAGGGCTTGGGATTCCCACCTCCTACACCTTCTTTGAAATAATCTGCATGAAATTCTGTAAAAGCACATGAGCTTCTTTCCTTTCTCAGTTTGAAACCAATCTGAAAGTGCTTCTTGTTGCAAAAGGAAGTGTTCCAATCTCTGGGAAAAAAAACACCACGCTCAGGAAGACGCACAGACTCCCACCATCCTGCATTTTCTTGTTTTGCTGCCAGCTGACCGATTTCACAGCACTGCAGAGGAAGCTGGCACCATAAACTGGCAAACATTTCCAGCGGCAGTGTCGATTCCCACTCCACATGGGCTCCAAAATAAGGATGTCACCCTCCACCTATGGACACGAACAGCCAGCATGGTTCAGCTCGCTTCCAGATTCCTTCTCTTTCACATCGGATCCCTGGCAACATCTTTCAGCACAGCCCTGAAGCGCTCCTTCTTTCACTACGCCTCTTTCCCCTCGGCTCGCCAGTCTCCTCCAGTGGCTGCGAGCAGCTGCTGCTTCACACACACCGAGAAACCCTGATATCACAGAGGAGCCTGACCTTTATGGAAGCTTCTCCCATCCCACCCCACCAGGCAATAACAGAATGATGCACCCACGCCATAATATGGGATGCAGCACCTGTGATTTTAGGAACTTCTGCACATATTTAGTTGAGGGGAATTCCCCAGGCTCTGGATTTTCAGCTTGCAACCAAGTCCAGCAGGGACTGCAGTGCTCTGGGAAGCTTGCACCACCACCAACAGTATTCTAACATCAGCTGGTGCATTTCATCAGTTCTGAGAGCATCTCAAAAGGCATGCCAACACTTACTGATGGGAGAACGACATGCAGAGGAGCATAGAGGCTTGTGTATGGTTATTCAGCAGGCTGGCTGCAGTTAGGACTAGAGCTCAAAATAACAGTGCTCTGCACCAATAACCAGAGCACCCAGCCTCCCCCAGCACTCCTCACTGCAGGGCTTCCCCTGCCACCCCCTGCCTGGTGTCCAAAGAGACAGTTTTGTTTTCTGAAGTTTATGATACTTCAGGATGGGGAAAAAAATATTCCCAAGAGTAAAACAAACAACAACAACAAACAACAACACACAAAATCAACAAAAACCAACCAGGCAGCACAGGGCTGTGAAGTACTCTCATTTATACAACAGCTCCCACATGTGAATAAACCAAGTAATGCAGCCATTGAAGATGAAGGTCAGATGGAGGCAGTGGGAATCCAGGCTAAGTTCCCACAACCAGGTGGGAACAGAGCAATTCAGAAAGATTTAAATTACTTGCTGTGAGCTGCTGACAGCTGTGGAGTCAGAGAGCCTCTGCAGGGCTCCATCCTCCCTATAAGCACTGAAGGCAGAAACACAGTGCCCTCATTCTCTGTAACTGCTCAGCATCTCTTCCTTCTGCCTCCTAGAGAAACACCCTCAGCTGCTTCGGAAGACAGTGGATGCCCTCCATTCATACTGACAGAGACAAGCATAGTAAAGAATCTGAGAGTCAGCTGGGGCAGGAAGAAGCTGTGTTGCTCTGTAGATCAACAGACAGGTCTCCAGAGTGGGAGAGGGGCATCGGGCCTTGATCAGTATTCTATAGGATTGTCTCTATTTTTTTATGAAACAGATAGATATGTAAACACCTGGAGGCAAGGAGACAAACCCATGATTCTTTCTTTTCATGCACATGCTATAAATAACATGGTAAGAAGTGACATTACAGAGTACTGGAGACAAGAGATCAGGAAGAAACTGTCCTCACGCACGAGGACTCACCAGGAGTTACAGATCTACCACAAGCTGCATTTATATTAATGCACCCTTTCCCAATCTCAGTGAGATAACTCAGCTAAACAGTATCTCCATCAGCCCCACTGTACAGACAGGGAAGCAAAAGGATGTGGGAGAGCTAGCAGATGGGAATAGCACACCAAAGTCCCGAGCTGCACGCATCTCCAACCCACAATTCAACCTCTCATTCTGCAATAGGCTCCCACTGGCGCTCTCTTCTGCCTGAAATATTTCAATCTCTACCTTCACACCACTCATGTCGTTTTGTTTTCTTTTTGCCCTTCATCTGAGCATGATGGCTGGCATGTTATACTCTGAGAAGGAAACACTACCTCACCGTGTATTCTGATGCACACAGCGCTCATCAAGCAAAAGCACCTTTCTGCTTGCTTCCATGTTTACACACCCCCTGGATTCGTTACAAGAAATGAAACTGAATGCACAGAAAGCTTAGACTGAGGAGCACGAGTCTCTCCTGAAGCCCTGTTGATATTGAGCCATCCCCAGCTCCCCATCACTCCTGCAGACAACTCCAGCTCAGCCTCAGCCTCTTCTCAGCGGTTGCACTGCACTGCTTTCAGTACAGACCTGCCACTCTCACACCCTTTCCTCCCCAGCGTAGCTCAGTCACCCCTCAGCAGTTAACCAGCAGCTTCACAACACGAACCGTTCCCATTTCCATCTCCTCAGGATTCCTCAGCCCCGTCAACCCACTCACCTCAACGAAGACCTCCAGGACCAGCATTTCGCACACAGCCCTCGAGGAAAGCTCGTATCGGCCTCCAGGCCCGGCGGGACCCCGACAGACACACAGACGGCAGGGCGGTCCTCGGTCACAGCACGCCAACGCCTTCACGCACGGGGACCACGCCGTAGCCGTCACAGCTTCGCCCTCCCCCCCCCTCCCACTTCCAGCCTTTTAGAAGCGCCTCCTACCTTTGATATCCAGCAGCTCCTCCTCCCGCACGATGCTCCCTCGCACCCATCCTTTCCCGCCCGCTCTCGGCTCCACGCGGCCGCAACCCTTGTTTACGCCGCGCCCCGCGGAGGGCCGAGCTGCCGCACAGCGCCGGAAGCGCGGGGCGGAGATCGGGCTGAAGGTTCGCGCAGCCCTCAGCGGCACAGCCCGGAGCGCTGCCGCCCGCACCGCCGTTCGCTCTTCCAGAGGCTCGCGACGGGAACGCCGCCACTGCCGCTCGTTCTCCTCGCTCCCTCTCGAGCGCACCGGCAGAGCTGGGATGAGCCGCAGGCCCCGCGAGCCGCCTACAGCCCCCAGAGTGCACCGCGCGCCTCGAGCGCGGCCCCGGCGCCTCGCACATGCGCATAGTGCTGTATGGCTCCAAGATGGCCGACGCGGCGCCCGGCGGTTCCGGCACGGTAACGGCAGCTCCTCACCGGGCCGCGGGGTCGTTACGGAGGGCATCCCTCCGAGGAACCGGGCGGAACGGCAGCGGCCTACGAGTGGGAGAGCGGGGTTGGAGCGGGGAGGGGTGCAGGGTGCTGCTCCGCGTCCGTCCGTCCGTCCAACTGTGTACCTTATGCATAACTGTGTGCATTTGCAGATTTCTGTATGCCTGTCTGTGTGCATATGCGTGTGTGTTTATGTGTGCAGATATGCCCATGTATGTATGTGTGTGTATCTCCACGTGTGTGCGTTTGTGCATGTAGAGAATCTCTAGTTGTAGATTGCTCCAAAAGTACTGCTTCTTATTTACTTGCATGAAAGCTGCAACATCTACAATGAGCCAAATAATACTATTTGATAAAGCACGTTTGCAGATAGAAACACTATTTTTCAACGTGGTCACCATTATTTTTATCATCATTGAACAAGAGCCTGCATGCTGCACTCATACTGCCTACATGACCCACTGTTTCTGCTGAAACACACCACCCACAGCCTCACTGTGCTCACGTCTGCTGTTCTGTCTCCAGAAACATCCAGAAAGCATCGATGGAAGTCAATGCATGCCTTCATGTCTTTTTTTTTTTTTTTTTTTTTTTTTTTTTTTTTTGCACAGAGGAATTCAGTAATACCTCATTGCTTCATACACACTTCTACATTACACACCATCTTGTCAGGCTGTTGCCATCTGTCACATGGCAGTGTAATGGTTACAGAACGTTGGCAGCAAGGTTCAGCCTCTGTTACCATACTACCAACATCCACCTCTGATGTCAAGGGCCAACATCATAAAATAGGAGGCATTACTTTCGGAGCAGTCCTCAAACGTGTATGTCAGTAGGTGTGAGTCAATATGCGTAGGTGTCAGTGCTGCATGTGTACCCTTGTGATGTGTGCAGGACGTGTGAGCCCAGCCTGGGTGCTGGCTGCATGCAGGCATTTGGGTTCAGTTTGGGCTCTGTGTCCGCAGAGGTCGGGCAGCAAGCACACGACCACGCCGGCAGATAACTACTACCTGGCCCGAAGGAGGACTCTGCAGGTGGTGGTCAGCTCCTTGCTCACTGAAGCTGGCTTTGAGAGCGCTGAAAAGGCTGCGGTGGAAACACTGACAGAGATGTTACAGAGCTGTGAGTCCCCGTGGCACCAGTGTGGTGATTTAGGGCAAAATCACCTTGAAGTTAATTCAGATTTGCTTTTGCTCTTTCTGTTGTTTTTCGTTTGTTTGTTTTGTTGATTTTATTTGTAATTTCTTACATTAATGATGTTAGCAAAAGCAGAAGGCTTGGCAGGGCATTAGAGCACAGCCCTGGGGTCACAGACCTTCTGACTGTGAGCAGTTTGGCTGAACTCAGTGGTGCTTATCTCACTCAGTGGGCATTAGGAATCCTAATAAGGTATCCCGAGACTGAGATGCTACCAGAATAAACAGACTGGTAATGAAGTTCCAGACATTTGGTTAGTGAAGGCTGTAGAAATGGAACTGTCTAGCAGTTCTGCTCTTAATTTCCTGGGTGATGTGCCTAGGATCTCAGCTTACAGTTTTTTTATGTTGATTAATGATTAGGTTTGGTAGTTTTTCATGCTTGTGCTGCAGATTTGCCTTTTTTATTTGTGAAAAGCATCTGACTTGATAATCAGTGTTTCCATACTTCGGCTGTCCTTTACTTTGACATATGCAGGCTGTAAGATACCAGATTCTGGAAGCTATTTTTTATTCCTTGCTAGGTGCACAGTGTTACTTCTAGGTCTGCATCCCTGTCAGGGGAGCAGCAGGCCCACAGGCCCACCAACCAAAAAAAATAAAGGGGGAGGGATTTCAATGGTTTACAGGCCGGTTTGGCCCAGGTCCATGGCTGATGGGGCAGGAGGACCAGAGACCAACACCCCAGCAGAAGGGAAAGGGGAAAAGGGGAAGGGTAGGGAGATGGGAGAGAGCAGTCTTGTGACTTGCAATCAGTTTTATCTTTCCCACTGAATGCAGTCCTCTGGGGTGTGCAGTTCTTCTCTTCTGAGAACCAGGTACCCAGCAAATAAGCAGTCCACAGAACTGGAGCATTAACTCTTTAACTCCCTGTGCTTTACATGATGTTATGATGTGGAATACCAATTACAAAAATCATAAAACATGACACTAGATTTGCTAAAAATTCAGGAGTTGGGCTGACACAAATGTGTGGTCACTGCCTGAAGTGAATATGTAATGGTTGTGGTTGATTTTTTCCCTCCAGATATTTCTGAAATTGGAAGGAGTGCAAAGTCCTACTGTGAGCATACAGCCAGAACACAGCCTACACTCTCTGATATAGTGGTTACTTTAGTGGAAATGGGTGAGTAGCTGACTCATCTCACTAATTCCAGATGCATACATTGCAGGAGGATGGGTGCTCTGTGTTGCCATAACGATATATTGCTTGTGTTGCTGGTGCTTGTGTGATGTCCACCATTCTGGGTCTCACGCAGGTGATCCAATATCACTGTTGTTGATGCAGTTTCTATGCATACAGAGTACATAATGTTCCTTCTTCTTGGTGTGATTCCTTTTTCCTCCTCTTCTGTATTTCAGGGTTCAATGTTGAAACGCTTCCCGCATACGCAAAGCGCTCCCAGAGGATGGTCATCACTGCCCGTATGTGAGAAGTCCTTTTCTTGTGCAGGAAATAATTGTCATTTCTATCTGCTGGCATCCAGAGGGCTGCTGCTTTTCTCATGAATGGTGCAGTCCAGTGCTCTGGGGCATGCAGTTTGTGTTAAGGATTCCTGTAATTATGATGTAATATGTGAAGGAGGATATCCTTTGCCAAATCAGTTGCTTTTGCTTCAGCATCCTCATTGCACATGAGAATCCTCAAGATGGTTTTGGTTCTGCTTGTGTAGGAGAGAGGGGTCATGTAAGCCTTGTTCTCTTTGCCAATGCTGATAAAAATGCCAAACACAACCTGAAACTGTTGCTCATGGCATGTGCTCTGTCCCTATCACAGGACCTGGAGACGTGGGTCACAGCTTGGTACAGACTAGCACTTCTTGATGCCTAACATTTGGCAGAATGATGCTGGCTAATTTAGTGCATGTGCTTTTTTAACCATAGCTCCTGTGACAAATCAGCCTGTGACTCCCAAAGCCCTGACAGCTGGACAGAACAAGCCACATCCATCCCACATCCCTGGCTATTTTCCTGAGTTTCCAGATCCTCATACCTACATCAAGACACCAGTGAGTGAAAAAAGACTTTTGTGCTGTTTGGGTTCTGTCTGAAGTCAGTAATGTTAGGAAAGCGCGTGTGTATTTTTATTGTAGCACTGTTCCAGAACACTCTTTCTGCTCCCTTGGCACAGTGCTCATCATTTGCACATTGTACTTGTTTGAGTTTTATGGCTGATATCTGTAGCTGTTTGAAAACGTGTGCATGTTGAAGGTCAGTGCTTGCCTGTAGCACCCGCGTCCTAGTAGTGTTTGGAACTTGATCTGTCTTCATTGAATCTAGTGACTGTACTTGTTGTGTCCTCCCTGCTCTACAGACATACCGAGAGCCAGTGTCTGATTACCAAGTGCTGCGGGAAAAGGCAGCGTCTCAGCGGCGTGACGTGGAAAGAGCTCTCACCCGCTTCATGGCTAAGACAGGAGAAACGCAGAGTCTCTTCAAAGATGACGTTAGCACATTCCCATGTGAGTTATCTAGGAAGCTTGTGCTGTGAAGGACAGACATCTAACACAGTGTACACGCAGTGTTCTTGCGATTGCAGAAGGTGGGCACTGAGGGATCCCATTCTGAGGCATGGGAAGGGAGGGTGATGAGGGACTTTCTATTTTAAACAGGCATAAAGACCTCGGGTTCATAATAAAGCCTTGCTGTGCCTAATGGCAGGCTTCCACTGTAAATGAATGCCCCCTTTCTTGTGATGGTGGAGAGGGATTTGACTGATAGATCCTTTCATTCCCTTATCCCAGTGCTGTCTGAGTTTCTGTAACTTCTGTACAAGTCATTTCTTTTCTCACACATTTCTGTGTGAGGCAGTGGAGGTTGTGTTTCTCTGCCTGCAAAGCAGGGATGAGAATTCCCACTTTCCCAAGCTTGGCTGAGAGCACAGCCTGTGTTATCTTCTGGGGAACTAAGCAAATACTTCAGCCTATGAGGCAGTTGAACTTGTATGAACAGTCAGGAATGAATTTTTTGTGTTTGTATGATGCTGTGTCCATAGCTGGAAACATAAAGGGTCTTCAGAAAATAGGGAATTAGAGACTGCCATCTTTTGGGGACAGCATATTTCATTCCTGACTCCTGGGAGCGGCAGGAGAAGAGGTGTGCCTATTTTGTTTAAAAGCAGAACTATGAAAGGGTTTGGTTTCAAAGTAACTGGTTACTGTGTGCTGCGGAGTCTCTGAGTTGATGAGCTGTCTCCCACCTTGCTCACTGCGTCCTTTTCCCCAACCTTAGTGATTGCTGCCAGGCCTTTCACTGTACCCTACTTGACAGCTCTTCTCCCCTCTGAGCTGGAAATGCAGCAAATGGAAGAAACAGATTCATCTGAGCAAGACGACCAGACAGACACAGAGAACCTGCCCTTGCATATGAGCACGGTACGCCCCCCCTTAGAGATCAAGATCCCTAGGGCCTGCCTTTCTTAAACATACGAAACCTTCATCTGTCTTCCTTGCAGCTGAGCAGAGGGGGTGGAAAATGGTTGCATTTTACCGGATGTAAATGACTAACACTGTCATGGTTCTTTAACTTTCTGCAAAATACATTGTACAATGAGGTTATCCAGTGTTGGGTCACGAGCTTTCAATGCAACCTTTATTTCCATGTTAGAGGAGAGAGGATTGTGCCACTATTCCATGCTGTTCTCAGAGGGGATCTGCTTATATTAAAAATCTGGACTTCCCACCTTTAATGCAGCTTTTTGTTTGCTTCTGTTTATCTTGGCTGTTGATTGTGTTTCACCCTTGTGTTTTGTGGTTTGAACTTCTAAGCCTTGTTTAGACTAACTTTGGTTATTTATGCTTTTTTTTTTTTTTTTTTTTTTTTCTTTTTTTTTTTTTTTCCTGTGCCAGGATGATTCTGGACCTGAAAAAGAGAATGCTTCAGTATTACAGCAGAACACCTCCTTGTCTGGCAGCCGGAATGGGGAGGAGAATATGATAGACAACCCTTACCTCCGGCCGGTGAAAAAGCCCAAGATCCGCAGAAAGAAATGAAGTGTGGTCAGCTGGCTGCTAGAAGAAAGAGGAGCCCATTTCTCTGGCTGTTATGAGTACTCACCTCTGCTGCTGTGGGTAGGAGGCATGGAGCACAGCAGGGGCAGTCCGACCGAATGGCAGAAGCAGAGGAATGATCTGCCTAACAAACTACACTGTCATCACTGCAGTGCTCCCTCTTTCTCCTCTGCTTTCCTCCTAACTGGGAATCCTAAGTGGTCAGTTGCCTTAAAAGTGGTGAAAACCACTGAGTTACAGATGGGAATTGTCTCATTTGGTTTCTTCTGACTGCTGGGGAGATTTACTCTTTAAAGAGGCGTGGGATGCAAAGATTCTTGCTGCTCTACAGAACACAAAGACATAATTTGTTTTTGGCTGCCTTACAAGCTAGGAAAGAAACTTCTGCAGTGAACCTTGTTTAGCTTTATAATCTGTGGAGCATGTATTTAGAGAGAGAAAAATCCCACAGAGGTTTCTTTCTTTTGGTTGTTGGCAGGTAAAAGCAAACATGTTTATTGAAGAATGAAGTGTAAATGCAAAGCTAAGATGGCATTTATTCTCAGCTTTTCTGACTGCAGCTGCACTTCCAACTTAAAAGTGCTGAGTGTGGTGTTTACCCTACTCTGCTTTGAGATTATTTGCTAGCAGTACCAATGGCAGATTCAGCAGCTGCCTCAGGCTCTTTTTGAGTTCTGTTGTTAGTTTCAGCACAGCACAAGTCCTTTGAGAGTTCATGCCTTCACCAGCTGTTTTGAAAGATGCTTGCTGCAAAGCTTGGAGTATGGAATAAAGCTGTATTGATTACAGTCTGCAGGGCTGTGCTGTTGATCACGCTTTTTAATTTTGTCTTTGTTCAGTATGGGCTCTTATCAACAGAAGTTGCTCTTTTTTCTTTTTCTTTCTTTTTTTTTTTTGTTGTTGTTGCTATTGTTGTTGTTCCCTTTTTTCCTTAGAGAAGGACCTTTATTTCAGCTCTGAAAATGACTGCTGATGGGATTGCTGTAATTGTTATCCAATTATGGAGGCCTTTCCTTTACTTTTCGTTTAGTCTTTACTTAGGGAAAATATGCACAGAATTCCTGTAACAAAGTACTCCTATTGTTTGGTACAGTCTCCCAAGCATGATATTAATACCTGAATTCTGTAGTTCATACTACATCAGCTTTTCCCATTCATGCAGGTAAGTTCTGAAGGGAAAGTTGCTTTTAAGCAGTAGTCAAAACTGCACCTCTTTTAGATGAGAATTTGGTGCTGAGAGGCAGAGGCTGCCTGCTTCAGACTGCCAACTTACTGCTCCCAGAGCAGTGCCTGGTGCACAGTCACTGCAGTCAGAGGGAACAGAGTTACATGTGGTTTGTTCTCTTCTGTTAGTGAAGGTACCCCTCTGTCCCCATCACCCAGAGAGGAGGAAGAAGAGGAGGAATTATTTCAGCAAGATTGGAAGTATTCCTGACAAACTATTTGAAATCGCATCTTTAGCAAAAAAAAGTCCTGCATGTGCCATTGCCACTTTTGCTGGTGCCTTGGTTGTACAGAAAATCAAATGTACAGACATTATGTATATATATATATATGTATATAAAAAAAATATATCTTTTTTTTTTTTTTCTACCTTGGATTAGGTGTTTTTCATAATGAAAATATCCCTTTCTGAATAGGGGAAAATCTGGAATGAAAATAGTATCTTTTATGTTCATAATAAAAGAGATTTTATCTTCTACAAGCCAAAGCGACTGAGTTCTTAACATTTCAGGAAGAGTGGAAAAAAACCACCTGAATGGAGCCTGAATGTGTGCTCACGGGGGTCTGGTGAAGTTCTCACCAACTCGAAGGAGGCCTTATTCTTCCTGCTGTGTCTCTTCCTTTCTTTGCAACGATGTTTGATTGCTGAGAAGGTTGGGAATTTTCCCACGCTGTGTGTTCAGTGAGGACAAAGTACCTCCCTTTATGAGAAGGTTTTTCTCTGTCACAAGTGGAACATGTGGTTGAAAAAGACTGCAGAATCCTTGGTGCTTTTTAGTAGGTCCTGCATCTTTCTGATGTGTTTTTTTCCTTACAAAAAGCTCAAGAAAGATAAAGTATACAGTGTCAGCCATGAATGCAGTGATGCAGCCATTGAAAACAGGCCTTACAACAGTAAAATGTGCAGGGAATAACAGCCCCTCCTTGAAGAGTTTTCATCAAAAGGTGCAACCAAGAGTCAGCAACTGCATCCCATCCTGGCAGCTGCAGCTACAAAGCTGCCTTGTGTGGCTGGGAGGGTCGTGCACTGAGAATAAAGGCTGTGAGCAGCTGCACTGCATGTGTGAGAGCACAAGAAGCCTGAAAGCGGGGAACTGGAAGAATATATCTCGTTTTTATAGTCACAATTGGGCTGCAGGTGAAATGATACAGTCACAGCTAAGCAGACCCAGAGAATGCGAAAGCTTGCATTGTGGTTGGCAGTTATTTCGAGTACAAATATTGTGAGTTCCCAGTTTTCCCCTGAGATCTGATCACCGTGTGTGCAGGCAGGTTGTAAATATTTATAGAAGTCTCTGCAGTCTGAGCTGCGCCTTGCAGAAGCACCTGAAGGCAAACACCAGAACCTCTCTGTTTCACACCAGGGTTATTTTTGTGGCCTCACGGGTTGCTCATAGATTGAGAGCAGCTCTTCCTGTGCATAGGGCAGTGCTGGTCAGGCCCAGGTCTAGCCACCCAGTCTGGCCATTCCCAGCACTCCGTGCCCAGGACGTTTGCAGTCTGCGAGGTTAATGCAGCTGACTGCACAAAGCCATTACACTTCTTCCCAGTGCAGCAGTACTGCACAGCTCTTCTCTGACTGCGGTGCATTCTTCTACTGGAAGGAGATCAGTGGAAGAGGAAACCCTGAGGTGGTGAGGAAGCTGAGGAAGCAGGTAGTGGTGTCGAGGAGTTAACTGTGCTCCTTTCTGATGCCATCAAGGGCTGGATATGGGGGTGAAGCCCCCTGTGCCGGGGGAAACCATGCTGGGGAGTGCAGCGCCATGATGTGTCTCCATGGCAACCTGCCCAAGATGGCCGCCCCCATGCCTGGACCAGGAGCTGAGGGAAGCAGTGCTGAAGGCTGGCCCCAGCGATGCCAAACACCCGCAGAGCCCGAGAGACCAGGTGCCAGATCAGGTAATCAAAACTAATTGAAGAAATGCAGCTTTGAACAGGTTTTATTTGAGGAGGCAGAGTATTGCAGGCAAACGTGCCCATGCCAGGCATGCACAGGATGCATCACTGTTCAGCTCTCATACAAACTCAGGTAGGCCACGCGGTTCCGATACTTCCTGAATTCTCTGTCCACGATCAGCTGAAAGAAAAGAGAGCACAGGAAGACACGGAGTGGTGTTGAACTGCAGGCTGGTTCACCAGCTGGTTTTCCTGACTCAGTGTTTCAAACTGGAAAGTTTTTCCAGCAGAGCTGTGCAGAGAAAGAAATCTGGGCTCCGATCTTCTCACTTTGTGGATGGAAACTTCCTTCTAGAGCAAACTCCCTACTCAAAGTGTTTTTGAAGGACTGTAGCTGATTTTGCAAACTGGCGTTTTCTGACAGCAGCTCACTTTGTGTCTCACTCCCTAAGCTGGTACAGCTCCACACCGAGCAGGCCAGAGAGGAGAGGATGGCAAAAGACAGTGCTTAAGTAATCATCTGATTTCCTCTGTGAGAAGTATTAAGCTGGGAATAGCATCCCCTCATCCCTGTCCATACCTTCTGAACTTCCATTTTTAGCATCCTCTTTGCTGGCATTGGCACTAAAGACCAATCTGGAGACCCAAACTTCATTGGCCAAGTGATCTTTTTGTGTAATCGCTTGTCTGCATCATAAGTTCCAGGTCTAAAGAAAACAGAAACAAAATATCTCATTTCTAGATCTGGTGTATGATGTTTGCAATATGAGAATTAACCAGACCTGCTTTGACCTATGGGAAAAATGCATGTTGTGGTCTTCTAGTCATCATAGGTTGAAGACTGAAGCAAAGGAGCCTTTTGAAGATAATTAAAAAAAAAGAAACAAAGCATTACTGGGGACTCGTTACATATCTTCTATTTCTGTCTCAGTATTTCTCTCCTCTAGTACTCCTTTTTATTAGAAGAGTAAGAAAATGAGTCATATTACCCAGGGAAAAGTTCTTTCTTTGGAGGTTTATCAGGAAATCGTGGTGTCTTAGAGGAAAATGGAGCATAGTTAGACTGGCGTTTTCTCTCCTTATTGCAGAATGGCTGGTATGTTCCTGGTCCGGGAGTCACCGTCTGCAAGAGAAAAAAAATCAGTACCGAAGATTTTGTTCTGCAAGCCATTTCTGAATGCTTTGAATCAGAGCGTTTAATGCCAGCTGGCTAGGCACTGCAGACCTGCTGTTCAATGCATGCCCTGGCTACCCTGATAGCACAAGAAGAGCAGAACAGATCAAATCTGTGCCTCCTGCTGTTTACCCAGCCTATCCTATGACATCTCTCCTGATACAGTGTTAATCTTCAGAAGCTGAGTCGCTAAACTAGCTTTGTTCAATTAGTACAACTTGAGCTCCCTTCCTGATTTGCCTCAGTATGTACATCTAGGTGTGTGTGAGAGAGATCCAAAGGAATATGTATACAAAAGCACGCATCCATGTTTCCAGAGCTCCCATGATTGGTGATTGATTTCTAGCCCCACTGCTTGCGACAAAGCTAGGCATGGGGAGATCTCTGACCACCATTACTTTAAGCTGGAGGCAGGCCCAGCACGTGTTAACAGCTTACAGTCTATGGTAGGATCAGCCTACAAACTCTTTCAGAGCTGTGGCACTGCCTCTCTGAAGCATCCTTTTCTTACCCGTGGCTCTGGTACGAATCGCCGGGCCGTTCGGGCTCCTATCACGTAACCTTTCATGCTCAGTGGTTTTGTTCCAAAGGAGTACCTGAAGCTGCTTTCCTGCGGTTAAAAAGCAGAAGCATTGTTTGCATCAATGGAATAGAAGTTCCTGGGCAGCAGACATCGTTCCTTTAATTTCTCACTAATTTAGAGTATTAGCACAGCTGGAGCTTTGAGGACTGGTTAATTTAGAAGGTAACTTTTCTAGGAGATAAATGTATTTTTTTTTTATATATATGCAGATTTATACAATGGCTTTACAGGGCAGGCATGGAGTACACTGTGGCTGGCTGGCCATGCTCTTATTACCTGTTACTTATCACTTACTCCTTACTACTGCTCCTATAGCATATGTCTTTTGTGAAGGAAAAGCTCTGAGAATAAAAAACAAACTTACCTCCTGACTCCGGTAGCCGCCTGGCCCTAGGAAGCGGTTTCCCCTGATGGCTGCTAGCTGGGTTCCCATCTTGTTTGGAGCAAGGTGGAGAGGGAACATTTTTTGATCTTGGCGTGACCCAAGGCAAATTTGTTTCTGCACATCTGTAAAACCAGGAGAGGGAACTGCGATCAGTGTGATTCACCCATGAGGGTTTGACCACTCGCTGCTCTTCTTCCTCCTCAGGTGTCTGCTGCTTCCTGAGGTGGGCCGTATCTCTCAGCTGCCCCTGGATGTCCTGGCAGGGCCTGCTCTTTGAATGACTCCCTGCTGCCACAAAGACTTCTTTTTCCCCAGCCTGGGCAAGGAGGTGCATAGCAGCCCAGTCACAGGAAAGACTGCCAGGGGATCCTGGTGCTGTCGGAGATGCAGAGCCCATGCTCACAGCCCCCCATGCTGTGCACACCTCACACAGCTCACCTCTGGGCTGCCACTCTGCACACATGCTGCCACATCAGGCACTTATGGAACTCTGTGTACTGCAGTTGCTATGGATATGGGGAGGGGTGCTGGAGGAAATACTGGCAATAGGAGCTCTTGAAGCGTGCAGGAAAAGGAGCAGCTTTGATAAAAGCCCTGGGGATCACACTGTGCTTACTCGTGCTCCCAGGAGTTGCAATTTGCATGGTGAAATTCAGACTCTGGCAAAGCAGTCCATAGAGTATGCTGTCAGGACCCTTCACTGTGTGTTTTCAGACATAGCAATCTCCCGTGTCATCTGCTCCCTGTCTTTTTCCCTGTGTCTGGCTGTCATGATAAGATTGTAAGAAATTGCTGGAAAAAGATACTGGAATTAATTCTACCTTCGGGATTTGAGCCCATCCCTCAGCACAAGTGTAAAAACTGAGAACGAGGGAGCATCAAAATATTACAGGCAAGATGAGTCCAAGCAGCACGCATTTTACTTTTGCAGAACACTTTATT